GCTCTTCCCCCAATGGTGCCCACCCTGCTTGCACTCCAGGCTCCTGGGAACAGGCCAGCTCCCAGCTTCCACCTGGCTTTGGTGTTTTGCCTGTAGAAAAACTTACGGTGCCCCCCTCTCCCAACCAGGCCCTACCCCCAGAGCCCTTCCCTCCCCCAACACTGGGCAGTAAATAGGCCTGGACTAGGGGGCAGGGGGAGTAGACCCCTTTAAGATCCATCCCACTGCCACAGAGTACTTGGGTGCCAGGAAGCACTGGTGCCTCTAGCCCAGGAGAGGGAGGGAGATATGCCAACCTGCCCGCTTCTGCCCAGCTTCAGGCTGTGAGGGGCAGCCTGAATGTCCCTCACACAGGTGCTATAACATAACCCATAATAAGTTAAGCATAGCATGAAAACCTAAAACATCCTGTGGAAATTTAGACGTAACCATGGAAACTTTGACGTCTTGCGGAAACTTAGACGAAACAGTAGAAGCTTGTAGACGCTATAGGATAGCCAATAACTGCATAACATGCTACGGTTCTTTGTTTAGATAAGCTATAAAAAAAACCGATAAAGACCGGGGTCGACTCTGCTTTGGACTACTAGCCCCCTAGTCGATCTTGTTTGCGCAAACAATAAAATTTGAAATGGACCCAGCCTGAGTGTGTGACTCTCTCCGTGAGGTCAATCGGAAAAGCCTCCGGGGGCACGAAACTAGCCGTTTGGGCAACACTGTCCACAACTGAAACTGGTTTGAAGTGCTACTTAGGCCAGCGCTTCTCAAACTTTTCCTCAGCATGACCCCTCACTCCCAACCCACAGTCCCCCACCCCTGTGATCCCTTCTGCTGATGTTGCAAACCCATTTGGGGTCACAACCCACAGTTTGGGAACCGCTACCTTAGGCACTCCAGGAAAGGCTGATCTCTGATCCGTGCAACCAACTCCTGTTGCACTAAGGCAGGGGTCAGCCACCCCCGGCACACATGCCAGAGCATGGGACGTGAGGCCATTTTGCTGGGCACGTCACAGCAAGCCTGGGCTCTGGGCAGCCGCCGCCAGCCACAGAGCAAGCAGCTGGGGCTCCGTGGTTGGCAGCAGCTGCCCAGAGCCTGGGCCAGCTCCAGTAGGCAGCTGGGAGGCTGCAAACAGCTGCACCAGGGTCCAGAGCCCCAGCACCAGCTCCGTGGCAGTGGTGGGTGTATGTGCACCTTGGGGCGCAGGCTGGGGATGGGGCCAGGGCACTACAACCCTGGTCTCAACCCAGCCATCTGCCTGGAGGTGCACGTGCATCTGCCACCAGCAACAAGGATTGGGCCCCTCACAGCTCCTCCCCTGTCTGCTTCTAGCATGCCAAGTCAAAGCGTGGGTCAAGGTTGGTTTGGTACTCCAGCCAGAAACATTGCTGACCCCTGTATTAAGGTGTAGCTCAGGGGTTGGCAATTATTTTGGGCCAAGAGCCGCTTACTGAGTTTTGACAAGCCATCGAGGGCCTCATGACTGGCAGCCCAGGGCAGGTAAATATTAATTTTCTAAATGTTTTAGGGGCCCGCAGGCCAGATAGAATGGCCTGGCAGGCCGCATCCGGCCCCGGGGCTGCATTTTGCTCACCCCTGGTGTAGCTGCTGGGACATAAAAGCAGCAGCCTAGCAGCACCTGCAGCCAGGCAGGCAGGTTACCCTTTCCCTGCCTGCATCTTGGGACAGGCATCCACAAGTAAGTAATACCCTGGGGGTGCCCCTAGAGCGGGCGGAACTGGAAGTCACAGGGGGCAGGGAGAAGCCCAGATTGTGAGTGGGGGGTGCTTTTTCCTCCAGGCCTGTGCTGGCCTGAAATGTGAGTGCTCCAAACTTGACTTAGCACTAAAACCCATCAACATTTGTGCAGCTCACAGTGTAACATGTAACAAGGCCCTGATGATACTGAATTAATGGCCTATTATAATTTATCAGACTCCTGAATACTTTCCACACAAGGAAGGTGAACTGCCACCCTCTGCTTCCCCCCATCCCCCTTGTCCTTTTTGATAGGCCTTGAGTTCCACTTCTTTTATTTTGCTAATTGTGTGTCTGCTACTCCACCCCTTCCCTATGACATTTCACTTGCTGTGCCTAGCTTCCTGGATTCAGAGACCTAAGGAAGAATGCCTGACATTCGAAAGCCTGTCTAACTTTATCCCAGCTACATAGTTGGTCCATTCAAAGAGATCACCCTAAGAAATCCTAATCCTAGGCCAGTGATGATCACACCCAATGCTAATAAAGGTGACCCCAGGAAAGAACAAGGGTCACAGGTCATGACTTGGTTTCCCTGCTCCCTACTCAATTGCCCAAAAGCACATAATCTCAGAGAAATGGGCATGAATACAGAACTTTGAATCTGAACTGTATAAAATGGCTCCAAAGGCATAGGGGTGAGAGCCTGGAACTTGCCTCAGTCATGAGAATGGATTCTGGGGGGGCATGAGTTCTCGCCACCCAGTAGTGAGTACGTCTGTGTATTCTGTGCTGTACGTAGCTGCTCTTGGTAATGTTGCCCGATTGATAATATCTCAATAAAGCAGGGTATAGTTCTGAGGAACTGGTTTGGGCTTCTCTTGTGCTTCTTTGGATAAAATAAGAGCCCCCAGAGTCATCCTGGGTATAACAAGACTTCTTTGGCTGACTAATTCTTTAGGTGGGGAACATGTAAGGCGGCAGGTCTGAGTCTTTTTAGACCTGAAGCCCTCTCAGAAAATGCTGTCTCAGAGCTTTCACTTGTTTCTTGACCATGTAAAAATACTAGAGCAATTCTTCTGTTGCAAAGACCTTGGAAACACCACAGCAGCTCAGAATATTTTGGACTAAGTAGATTCCTATTTGAAATCTTTTGCGAATTATGTGTAGATGTTTGCACACCCAATGGTGCTAAGATGGTGTGGCACCCTGCAGCAGGGATCCTGAGATCCCTGCAGAGGATCTCACATCACGCTGGTTGAGAAGTACTGTTTTTACCCCCCAAATCTGTCCCTGTTTACAGAGGGAACAGCACAAATTGCCAAACACAGCCTACACATGTGGTTCAGCCTCAATCTGGAGTGACCTCTGCCATTGTGAAAGAGTTTCAATCT